GATTTTAGAATAAATTAAAAATTGTCCTTGTAGTTTAGTGAACTTTGTAGTTTTAGTCTAACTTTCAAAAAGTTGATAGGTCACAGTCACATGGTTTCTGGATCTTGCATTTTTGGTCCTTATTCCAACTAGAACGACTACATTGCACTTATAGTTTGGTGGTAAAAGTGGTTTCAGTGATACACACAGGCTCTTGAATTAAATCTTGAGAGAAATCTAATTTTTTAGACGGTGTTTGTTTTTTTGGCAAAAAATCTATGATCTTTTATATTTGTGGGTGGAAAGATATTTAAGAATTTTTTTTTTGAGAAGACAAAAGACATAAAAAAATCTTTTTGACATTTTTTACAAAAACAAAAAAATAGCTTTTGGTTTTGGAAAACGTCTTTGTAAAATCTAGCCCTATGTGATATTTCTTTTTTCCACCCCAATGTCTCCATCACTATTACCACCACCGCCACAACCACCACCACCTCCACCTACATTGCTACTGTCGCCGCCACCACCACTTTTGCCGTGTCCACTACCACCATCTCCGCCGCTACCAACCCCAACACTACCAGATTTTTTTTCATGAAAACTTAAAAAAACTAACAATTTTTTTTATAAAGGCAAAGACATGAAAAAAGATTTTTAGTAAATATTTTATTTCGTAAACATAGAAATTAAAAGACCGAACACATTTTACAATTTCAAAAACAAACACCACCTTAGTGTTTGATTGTATCCGAAACAAATGAACATGCTAGTAAGGGGAGACCCTAATGTCGTTTATTAATAGCATGTGAAGGGTATGCCATGCCTAATGAGTTTGCTTTAGGTAGCCTCGTGAAAGAAGACATTAGTTCTAGAGTTGGTATGTGGATCCACTAATTTTCTATTAAGAACGAGTTGGAAAAAAGATGTATTCATGGGTAGTTCAACTCAGCACATGTACTCTAAATATGGAGGCATTATATCATCTAGATGATTGTGTATTTTGAATGATTCCAATATTGTTTCTTAGAATACCATGGTTGGAGGTTATGCAAAATGTAGATATAACGTCAAATATACTCTTAACAGTTGTAGGAATCGACGGTGATGACGGATAGGAGTTTCATTGGAAAATATGGTTGGTAATGGTGAAATGGGGGGAGAAAGGGATCAAGGAAGAAGATGATTCTTTTGGAACGACGAAATTTTATTAAAAAACTAGCAAGAAGCTAGAAAAAGAACATTACAACAAATTACAAGCTAGAGCAGGATTATAAAGCCACGAGGTCCAACCTATATTAGCTTTGCTACACCTATTGGAAACCCAAAAAAAAAAGAGTTTTTGACCACATGGTCAAAGATAGCTGATTTCCTAGGCAACACCGTTCCAAAGATAATGGAATTTTGGAAATTCCACATACACCATAAAGTAGTCATAATCACCGCATCAAAAGCTTTTCGTTGACCACTTCTCCAAGCAAAAGAATTCGACCAAAACAATAAAGAATCTATGGAAAGGTGTTGAGGAAGCTGAACACCCCACCAAATGGAAACTCGAGTCCAAAGCTCAATAAACTCACTACAACCTGCAAACAGATGCTCAATGGACTCAACTGTAGTGGAACAGACCAGACACAAGATCGAATCCATCAAAATACCCCAATGTGAAAGATTAGCTCGGGTAGGTAAACCATTTAATCTTAATCTCCAAATAAAAATATTCAACTTAATTGGAACCCAATTATTCCAATAAGTATCGGCACCATCTGTAGACAACATTCCATTATCAATAAATGTGGAGTCAGAAAAATGATCAGACGTATCCAAGAGCCACCCCAAACGATCTGGTCTAGAATCAAGCTGCAACCCCTGCATCAAAGCCATAAAAGCCTCCCACTGCGACTGCTCAATACCACCCTGAGGCACTCTCTTAAGCGATCCTGTATCCCAGCCCAACAACACCCTGTCACGAACCAAGGCGGATCTATGCGTATCCAAAGCAAAAATCCTATGAAAAGAGGCTGCAAGAGAACGATCCCCTTTCCATATATCCTGCCAAAAAGAAGTCCTACTCCTATCTCCAATCCGGATCGGACATAAAGAAAGCAAATCTAAACCACGATCTTTGAGGTGAGACATCATACGAATAACTCCATTCCAAGGACCCATCCAACCTTTTTTAAGGACTAAAGAACCACAACCTCCATCATAACCATAAATAACTCTAACAAGACGAACCCATATCAGATCTGGGTTATGAAAAAAATGCCACCGCCACCTGAAGAGCATAGCCCTGTTGAAGGAGAAAAGACTACCATCTCCAAGACCCCCTTCTTTCCTACCAACCAGAACTCTATCCCATCGGACCCAATGCATACACTTGTCATCCAACTCCGCCCCCCAGAAGAATCTAGCTCGAAAAGCCTCCAAGGACTTGAGAGGAACCATAAAGATGGACATCAAGTAACTTACCGAGCTCCCAAGAACAGACTTGATCAAAGTCAAACGACCACCATATGAAAGACATTTCGCATTCCAACCTGATAACCTGGAATGAAAACGATCAACAATAAGGGACCAAGCCGAGACCCTGGAGATACATTGACCTACTGGCACTCCCAAGTGAACAAAAGGAAGGCAATCTGGGGCACAACCCAATCCACGAGCCACCAACTCCGCCTGATGAGGAGAGACGCCAACCCTAATCAACTTGCTTTTTTGCAAATTGATTTTAAGGGCAGAGGCTAGGTAGATACAACGCAAGATTCAAAGAACTGAGTTAACATTCTTGGGATCCCAAGGAGAAACCGGAACAACATCATCCACATAAAAAATATGTGAGATATCAATCCCACAAATAGAAACGCCCCTAAACACAATCTAGAGATTAGCTTTTTGCAAAGCTACATGCAAACCCTGCATTGACAATATAAAAAGGAAAGGAGACAAGGGATCTCCTTGTCTCAAACCCCTCTGAATCTGAAATTCACCAGTAGGAGAGCCATTGACTAAGACCGAAGCCCTAGCTGTCCAAAGGAGCTCAATGATCCAAGCACACAAAATGGAAGCAAAACCCCTAATTTGCATGATTTCCAAAATATAATCCCAGGACAACGAATCATAAGCCTTCTCGAAATCCACTTTAAAAATCATAAGAGGATTTTTCGAAAACTTGCTCCAAGCCACCACCTCATTAAGAAGAAATGGATCATCCAAAATTTGTCTACCATTGGCAAAGACAGACTGCTCCAAACTCACAACAGAACCAATAACCTCAGCTAACCTATTAGCTAAGAGCTTACCAATAATTTTATATTGGCACCCAATTAGACTAATAGGTCTAAAGTCTCTAATTGACTTAGGATCTCGGACCTTCGGGATAACATTGAAGAAAGAAGAATTACATCAAATAGGGATGGAGCAGTGGCTGTAAAAGTGAAGAACAAAAGCAGTCACATCATCTGAAATAAGATCCCAGTAACGTTTCAAGAAACCAAAAGTAAAACCATCTGGACCCGAAGCCTTATCTGACCCACAATCCCACACAACCATTTTAATCTCATCACTAGAAAAACGAGCCTGAATAAACCGGACTTGAGCCTCAGAATAGGGTAGGAAAGAGAGTGACATTAGTAGAAGGGCAGCTTCCATTTTCCTTGAAAAAAGATTCCTATAAAATTGTTGGAATTCATTTTTCACCCTTCTCGGATCAACCACCCACTCTCCATCAACCATACCACCCCTGATAGCTAACTGCCTCCTCTTCCGATTAATAGTGCCATGGAAGAACCCTGAATTTTCATCACCCTTTACACTCCACCGAACTTTTGCCTTTTGAGCTAGATCAACCCTCGAAATATGATCCAAATCTGACAACTCTTTGAGGACCGAGACTCTATGTTGACGAAGCTCAGCAGTACCATCATTAAGCATAAGATAAGCATCAATCGACTCAATCCCCTCCTTCAATAATCTAGATTTTTTTCAACAAACGATCTCAGATAGAAGAGTTCCAAATCCGAAGATTAGATTTAAGAAGTTGAAGTTTCTTCTTAAATATAACCCAAGGATCATCAAGATGCCCCCATCTAAGGCAGTAGACCAAGAATCACAAACAATTTCATCAAAACCATCAATCATGAACCACGAATGAAAAATCCAAAAAGGAGTCGGGTCATAATCCACACAATGCTCTAACAACGAAATATGGCGGTGATCAGGGATATATTTATCAAGAATCATCCCTGTAATATGAGGAAAGACAACATAATACCCTCAGAAACCAGGAAGCGACCCAATTTTCTAAATTTAGACCCCCACTCGTCACTCAAAGTAAATCGAGGACCCCCCCATAGGAACATCAATCAAATCAATATAGTCAATGAAATCATTAAAGTTCCTGGCTATACCAGAATGAAATTGAGACCCCAATCTTTCCGTGTCATCCTGAAATACATTAAAATCTCCCATAACAATGCAATCTCTCGCAACAGAGCCGATCAAATCAGATAACTGACCCCAAATAATTCTTTTGCACTTGACTCCCCGAGGGGCATACATTGAAATAAACAACACATTCTTCCTTGAAGAAATCTAAGTACCCTCAACCGCCACATACCATTCAGAAACAAAAACACACTTTTGAGAAAAACAATCTGGATCCCAAATGACTAAAATACCCCCCGAGGCACCATGAGAAGGAGAGAAAAAATAAGATCACGAAACGTTACCCCAAAAAGAACGAACCGTCACTGGATCAACATCCTCCAACTTTGTTTCTTGAATGGCTAAAAAGTTAATTTTATGTTTATTGCATAACTTTTTAACCCAAACCTGCTTATCAATCGACACTGCACCTTGTATGTTAAAAGATAAACAATTCATGGTTACGTTTTATTGAAAACCTCTCATTTAATAACGCTTTTGACATGAGAGTAACACCCATCCATATTAAAACCAATCTTTTCACCCAATTCCAAAGTTTTATCATCTTTATTCTCCAAATAAGTCCTATTTACCAACCGCTATGAAATGGTAACATTACCCCTGAAAATTTTGTTTGCAAAACTGGGAGGATGGGTGAGCGAATCTTCTGACATATGAACACCCTCCATATGACCAAAACCACCTGAAAAGCCAACAAGCCTTGTAGAAAAGGCTGATATCGCAGAAAATGAAGCCGCAAGAGAGGCTGTCGGGACAGAAGTAAGAACGGCAGCTCCATCTGCCAACGACTCAGCAGTTGGGGGAGGGGTTTCCAAACGAGACGTTGGAACATGAGCTAAATCAGAAACAATTGGCCCAGCTGGAACAGAAACAAGAAGCGTTGCTATATCGGGAACAAGAGTGGGCTTCGAAACAACATCAGAAACTCTAAACACAGGAAAAGCTGATGAGATTTTAACACAATTCCCATTTTGCCCCTGCATGTCATTCTTGGAGTTTGTAGATTCTTTTACATATACTTGACAATTAAGATCCTCCGGATTGATTTTTGTAGCTTCATCCTTGTTCATTTTCGCTAAAGTATCATAAATGCCAAATGGGTCTAAGGAAATATCCTCATTATCACCCAATGAACAATTACTATCAACATTATCTTAGTGATCATGAGGATCAATATTGAATCTATTCAAAAGGAATTAATGTTTGTTTACAGATGGGCTAGGAAACCAAGTCAACAAAAATGGATCATGTATTTCTAACAATCTTATAAACTACCTTCTTGAAAAGCGTATGCATTAATTTTTCCATTTTCCATTTTATTTTGATGACTAGTTCTTACATGTAACTTTCAAATAGGAACTGAGCCATGTGTAACATTATACCATTGGGATCTCTCATTGCATCTTGATGAGTCAATAGGAGGGTGCTCAAGTGACTCAATATGTAAGGTTTCATCTTTTCTCCTTACCCTAAATCTTGATTTTTTTTAATGTTTATATCATAACTATCAATTATCATTGCTGAAAATGCAGAAACCATTTCGCAGTCTATGCAGAAACTTGTTATCAAAATTTTGGTGATAGAATGGAAAAATGGATAACAATCAATGAATCACTTTAGACAACAATAAATGAATATTTTACTAGCATATTTTCCCCTGTAAGATGTGAATGTTTTTCAGTTGAAATCAGAATAACTATTGGAGTTGCTGTAACTTTTTTGGATTGCATTGTTTCTTCTCAATTACCCTATGTGAGTTCCTGACAATTTGTGAACAATAGCAATGCAAATTAATCCATTATCCCATTATGGTTTCCGAGTTTTTGATGCTTTATGATTTTAGTCAATATTTCTTTGTTCTTCAATTTCATGTTGGACTTTTTATTTTGCTACAGTGCATTTTTTGAACAGTGGCATTATAGCACTAAAATATATGCCAACAAGTTTTTTTTTTTGTTTTTTTTTTTGTATCGTAGCAAATAAAAAAGTGCCACTAAAAGTAGAATGAATTCATTAATCAGAGTATTTAATAGCATATAATATATGCCACAAAATACTTTGTATTTAATAGCATATAATATATGCCACAAAATACTTTTCTTCTGATATGACAAATAAAAAAATGTCACTAAAATCCCAAAAAGTTGCAACGCCAAAATAAAAAGTGTTACTAAACAGTTTTAGTGGGAGCGTTTCCACTGGCACTTATTACGCGTGTTGCTGATTCTCTGAGAAACCTTTAGTGACACTTTTTGTGTGCCACTAAATGATTTTTTTGTAGTGCTTCCTTGATCCTTGCTTGACCCGACATTCTCGAAGGACTTCAACGTCCATTAAACTTTGATCACATGTTTTTGATCTGGTCTATTCATTTCAAGTCAAGTCCATGAATCTTGCATAAGACATTACAAGAGAAATGAAGACAATCCCAGGATATTGACTAAATTCAAAATTTTAAGCTACCCGAGATATTACTATATACTAAAGATATCTAAAATGAAGAAGATGAGATTTTACCCATAATTGTGAATATATCCTAAAACCTAAGATTCAAGGTTTGGCTCGACACAAATTCTATATAACACCTATTTAATATGGCAAACACCATGTCCATTATTGACATAGCAAAATGACAAGAGTGATGTTTCATTTTTCTCTTTACCCTCTTCTCCAAAATGGTAAAAATGATCAACTGATACCCCACATTTGTTGCTTTGTAGGATAGTAGTAGAAAAAGAGAAAAAAATTTAGTCCGCAGAGGGTGCATCGTTCCACAGAGATGCCCTCTGCGAATCTGTTTTTCAGAGGTACTCATCTGAGGAATTGTTCTTCGTTAAAACATGGTTTATGTTGACTAAATCATCGAAAAAATAGGCTTAGAAACATAGTTTTATAGTTTAAATTGTTATTTTGAATCAATGATATGTGCTAAATGTCTATACATCATTAGATTTAGAAGAAAACAAATATCATAATCGTTATTAGGCCATGTTTAGCGAAAAACAATTCTTCAAAGGAGTACCTCTGAAGAACATATCCGCAAAGAGCATCTCTGTAGAACGATACACCCTCTGTGGAATTAAAATTTTATAAATTTTTTTGTCTTTTTCCCCGTCACGTCATTTCCTCAGAGAGTTTTCTTGTTCCTCGGTGCTAATGGACTTCAGAAGTCATAATCATTTTTCAAAAACTCAAAATTCTTGATCATTTTCTTCAAACAACCCCTCATTTTTTATAATTTCAAAAATTTTCTCAATAGAAAATAGATACTATTTGATTTTTAACTTTGATACCACACCCTTTCATAGCCGACGCGAAAGTTATAATCCTACCACTTAATTGTATCTTGAGGTGATTACCGACTTGACACATCGTCAATGTTGTGGGTTCCTTCTTTTGTCATCGTATCCGATTATTTTCAATTGCAACCCTATGCTTTTACCGCTATATCGAATTTAACCCTCCAATGTTTATTGAATTACATTAGGTCCGCTCATGAAGCTTTTGAGACTTTAAATAAGTCAAAATAGATTGATCATCCTGATAACGTATCATATTACACAAAAGCGACGTGAGAGACGAATTTTAAGCCTTCGGGATATCATGCGTGGACCAACACCAACCACAAGTATTGAAAAAAGGAACAATTAATTGTTTAAAATTATTATTCATATGCATATTATAGTATTATACACATGAGACATTAATAACGATGACAAATATGATTTTGGTATGTTTTGATTCTTAACGGTTATGATATTTATAATATTATTCATAAACTTATTGAAAATCTACAAAATCATCTTAAACCCGTTTGTATCCATTGGTCTCCAATCCATTTAAATCATAGTAAATCAATTATGAAATATTACCACATATTTTTATGACTCTATATATAGATTTCAACATTATCCACTTGTTTTGGACCCTTCGAGCAATAAAAACGAACCTTTATGATTAAATAGAGGTTCTCTATTGACTTTTAAACGAATTATGACGATGGTATATATTTTCAAATGCTTATAAATATGGAAAAACACATAAACCATAACATATATTTATCACCATAAATTGCTTCTTTTTTCCTATAAATCTATCATTTTTTAAACATCATAACATTAAAAAAACAAACTCTAGCAAGACATTAAAGCAAAACAAACTTGAAAATTACACAGAAAAACGTTGACTAGTTTTTAACCAGTCCACCTAAGAAATAAAGATTCAATGACTTTTACTCTTATTCCAAATAAATGAAAACTTTCTAATTGTTAATCAGCTGCTTACAATACTTTTACCATATTATTTATGTAAATATGTAATCATCTTAAACTTAAACATATCAGTTCATATAATTGTATCTTCTGTAAAAGAGATGTCTGGATATGATCTATCTCAAAACCTACAAACACAAGAGTAGGTATTACTTCTTATTCGGGTAGAAGTTTCCATATCACATTTATCCTTTTAAGTTTTAACAATAAATATGAACTTTGATGATTAACTAAACGTTTTCCTTTAATTGTCAAATAACATATTATGACGTTTTATGTTTCAAAGTACTTCTAATTAAATCATTTATTGTTTTAATGTATCTGTATAAGGGATTAAACTTTACTAAAATTAACTTAAATGTATTACATCAAAACCTCACTTTTGGTAATATTTTCAACAACTATTAAACAATATATTAATCGCAAATAATTACTCTTTTATCTATGGTTTTTGAAAGGTTTAAAAGTAATAAATAAACTATATATGGCCTACAGGTGACTACCATATAACTTCAAGTCTCATCCCACTTTAATGGTAATGTCGTGACGTTGTGTTTCGTGATCAAATAAGAATGAGAGCGGCGTGTACATAAGAGCATCCAAAATGAGTAATTCATTGAAATAGTTGTTTCAATTGAATGAGGTGATATGTCTAATTAAGATTCAATAGATTAAACACTACCAATTGTGATATGTCATGTTGACGTTCAATAGATATGTAGTTCAATGACCATTTAACTATTTAATGAGAAAAAGAAAACTTATATATTTAATATGTCATAAATGAGATTTTATATATATGTTTCGTTGCACTTTGTAGAGTTCATTGTAAGAAATTTTTGGTAGAGTTGTATGAATGATAGAATGATGAAGTGACAATCCCTTAAGTTCTAATGAGTTGAATGCATTTATGGATGTCCATGTACCGGTTGTTGTGTGGTAGGTTTTGGGAACGGGTGTAGATAAACTCTTCTATGTTGGTCGGGCATATATGACATCTGATGTTGGTCGTGTGGCCATGTAGGATTATTGAAATTGTGGGACAAGGATGGCGACTTGGTGTGGTGGGTATTTGGTGTAGTTGCGCAAGTGTTGGGTATGTACATGGTTGTGCGTACCCTAAGGTTGAGTCTAAATATCCCATGGAGAACAATGGAGCACAAAAATCAATCTGAGAACGACTTATCATCCATAAACAGATAAGTAAAACAATATGCCAATTCAAAATGTGGAAGGCATGTTGCAATCTTGTGCCATTGATTTTGTTGGTAAATGGGATTGACATTTTATCAGTTGAAATTGCTTATAATAATAATTACACTCAAATATTGATATGACAGGATATAAACACTTTATGGAATGAAGTTTAAGACTCCATATGTTGGCATAAGGCCAATGAGAAACACTTCGTGATCCAGAAATTATTCATATCACCATGGAAAAGATGAAAATGAGATATGAAAAAAAATAATAGTAGCATAAGATAAACAAAGAGTTATGTTGATTTGAAACATTAACCTATTCACTTTAAAGTGATAGACATATAATGCTAAAAGTATCCTTATGAAAAAGGGTATTGCATTTTGGTAACAGGGGAAAGCTGATTCAAAGTTGCGTTAGGCCATTCAAAGTATTAAAACCTATAAGATCACAAGCCTATTATTTAGAATTACATGCTAAGTTGAAAGGAATGCATGATAACTTTCATATGTGCTACCTTAACAAGTATATGGAAAAAGGATAATAAGATCATTCCTTTCACATATTTGAAGATTGATGAATGAAACCGGATGGCTAAA